ACGTGGGCCGGCTTCAGCGGGGCAGACGCCCGAGGTATCGGGGAGATCAGAATTGGGTTTGCGAAGGGACACGGCCCAGCGTTCGGCGTCAGTCAGTCAGTCAGTCACTTGTGCGTGAGTGTGGTAACGGAGGACTGAAGTGTCTCGGAAAACATCCGTGGAGTTTCTCTCCTGGCACGGAATGTCATTGGACACTAACGCGTAAGTGGAAGACAGTGCAATGGCCAATATCCCATGACGGACGGAAGATCCACGTCACCAACTGACCTTGTGGCCCTGACCGCTTAATCTGCAACACTGTCTAACGAATTTATATGAAATTTGGTATGAGAGGTATATTTTTATTTAGTGTTCTGTCTGACGACAGGTCCATATGAACAGGATCCTTCCATCCTTTTCTTGGACTGGGACCTGTTCATATACGTTCTTGGCAGATGATCCAGAAGTGGTTTGCCATTGCCTTCTTCTGTGTGTGAATGGAGTAATTGTTGGGATGCCACGGAGGAAAACTCCGTGTTGCCTAGACCACACGGCCTTGCCCAACACAAGTTATAAATTCGGGCACCGCCGGGAATCGAACCCGAGACCCCAGGATTACAAGGCCAGCGTTCTAACCGCTAGACCACCGTGGCTATTATGTGAGGTATACGCTCAGGTTTGTCGGTGAAATTTAATGTACTTCAAGCTAGACATTCAGAAAGTTTTCTTTAAATAAAGGAATTGTTATCTGAACGTGGGAGTGTGAACATTGGCCAGACATTAAAATGGTTGTGGAATGCATGTGATACAAACACATGAACTTGCGGCACATCAGTAAACTATTATGTGTTATTCTGTGTCCTGTACATTTGTGATAAGTTCTTCGTGAGGAACCCCGATATCGTATTTAAAATTTTTTTTAATTAAACAGGACGCTATTCGGAGGTTAAGTTATTTAATGACGCTGTATCTGCTACAATGTTTGGAACAGCGGAGGAAGTAAACTGTCCTTGAATAATTCCTTTAGTGTAGCTGAGGAAAACAACGAAATATTCAGCAATAGTTCGGTCGAGCTTCAGAAAGCAGCAGCTCCTGAGGATTTCGATTGTCCGAAGAACTGTAAGCACAGGTACGACGCGTACAACAAATTTGCAGGCAGACAGAAAAACCCAAATTTATGTTACGACGGTGGCGACATTTCGTGTCCAGGACCAGGACGAA